ACATATTGTATGTAGACAATGTTTATCAATATTTTATAAAGGTTGTGGATGTTTTTGTAAACCACAAGGTAACAATATGGGTGTGTTTGCATACACATACTTATTTAATTCTGCTTGATCCACAAATATAAGTTTAAGTGGTTTTAATATTGAGTGATATTGAGAAAACAGACTGACAGTTTTACTAGGAAATGGTACCGTATTTTCCAGCGTATAAGACGACTTTCTAAACCCTGAAAATCTTCTCAAAAGTCAGGGGTCGTCTTATACGCCCAGTCGTCTTATATGCCGGAAAATACAGTATATTGTCTTTACAAGCAACAATGTATTACACATTATTGCTTTTATAGACAATACATTTACATGTGTAGTTTTAGATACATCTCATATCCTGTCTCTAACCATATGTTTCTCTCCCAGGTACATGCCTACACAATAGGTTTTCATACTGACCCTGTTATTGGCCATTTCTCAGTCATAGAAGTTGATGTTGGAAGACAGCCAGAAAGATACAAGCAGGTAATCCTCTTTCTGTAGCATGATGATATGTTAGTAATTCAGAGAAACTTGCTTTCTGCAGAATTTCCAATCTTCAGCTACATTCTAGCTGGAATAAATAACTTCAGAATATGGCACCAAAGGATCTTGGTTAGTCTCCTGCAGTACTTGTTATAAAACAGCTGCCTACAAAAGAGGCTGACCTGAGTATCTTGAGGTTTTAATTAGTTTGCAAAGTGGAACTGCTTTTCCCCCAAGCTTTAATTTCCCATCAATATTCAAATTAACATTTGGTATTTGTAATTTCCAAGCTTTAGGTAATCAAAGTTTCCCTTATCTCAACTTCTTCCTTTTTCCCTTTTCACAACAAAATCTAATATTCTAAATACACATCTTATGTATTTGAATATAGTCTTGTTCTGTTTTCTAAAACTTATCTATTTTCCACCATATTAAACCATTCAATTAATAATACAGTATCCCCTCTAATAAATCAAAACCATTATATCTATTGTCTGGGTTAACTAATAAATCAGTAATATACATAAATCTTTTAGTTTAGGTCTAATTTTTAGAAGCTCAAATACTCCCTCTCTTTTTCTAGTAATATCTATTATCTCATATTGGGCAAACAGAATTCTTATTTTCAACTGAGTTAAAAAAAGTAAATCTTGTTACATTTATCAATACTTTTTAGCCTATACATAAACTTTAATTTCCCATCAATATTAAAAAAAGGAAAAAAAACCACTTATTTATGATTTCCAAATATTTTATATTAGGTGACCAAAATTTCCCTTATCTCAACTTCTCCCTTTTTCCCTTTTCATACCAAAGTCTATTAGTCTTGTTACACATCTTACCTACTCAATTATAATGTTACTTTATTTTCTAAAAATTACAGTAATGGCCAAAATTGTGGAAACCTTTTGGGAAAAGTGTACATTTGAGGTTTGATGGCTAATAACTCCACTTTTTTGGAGTAGTGTCATAAAATTATGTATCAATGAAAAGATAATTTAATCAAGAATGTAATGCAACAAAATTCATTCAATTATCTGTATTCTATGAAAAGTTATAGCCAAATAACCAGAAAAAGGAAGCACAACTTGCTCAGGTGGATATCAGGTAGCTTTCCTTCATCTGATTGTAGCCAATGAGCATGAGTGTTTAGACAACCAATCAGGTGTCAACTTGTTTTGGCAATGAGCCAATCAGATCACAGTAGGATTCAGTTATTGATGTCATGTATTGAAGCTGAGAGGAGGACATTTGTCAGTGTGTTATGTGATCGTTATCAAGTTGGTTGGGTTTTTTTGTGTTATTTCATTTAGTGAGCTTGTAAAATGTAATAAAATTAAAGTAATGGTGCAAAGAGTTGACTGGTTGCCCAGAAAGCGATGTAACATAGTATTATTAAGTGAACAAGGCTACAGTTATAAAAAAATTAGGAAAAAAAATGGTGGAAACTTAACCAAAGGTGGCATTTCTAAGTTTTTGAAGAGGTATATGGAGACTCAGTCACTACAAAACCACACTGGTAAAGGCAGGAAAAGGTGCACAACAGCAAGTGATGATAGAAGAATTAAGAGACTGTGCCTACATGACAGAAGAAAATCATCTGGGTGTATACAAGATGAAATGTGAAGTTGAGTGCAAGGACTGTTCGGCGCAGACTGCAGGAATTTGGTCTAAAATTTAGAATTCCACAAAAAAAGCCACTTTTATCTCTCAAACAAAGGTTGAAAAGACTAAACTGGGCTAAAACCCATGTTACCTGAACAGAGGAACAATGGGACAGTGTTATTTGGAGTGATGAGACCAAGATTTCCCTGTTTGGTAGTAATGGCATAAAATACTTAAGGAGAAGAATCGGAGAAGATTTGCATCCTGATTGCATTACATGTACCGTGAAACACCCAGTCAGTGTTATGATCTGGGGTTGTATGACATCAAAAGGTGTGGGCAGATTTTGTGCGATTAATGGGAATATAAATGGCCAAAAATACATTAATGAAATAGTTGTGCCCAAACTGAAGCCTTCCGCACGTGATCTTTTCCAAGACAGTGAAGCATTTATATTTCAACAGGATTCAGCTCCATGTCATGTTGCTGCTGTGTACAAAAAGTGGTTTCAAGATAATCATATTCCACCTGGGAATAGCCCAGACCTTAACCCAATTGAAAATCTATGGAGCCGACTAAAGAAACTTGTTAGTCAGAAGCGACCCAGCAATAAAACCCAATTAATAGAAGCAATCATTCAATCTTGGTTTCACATTATAACAGCTTTAAAACTAAAGGGATTGGTTCACTCCACAGGAAGACCTTTTAAGGCCATAATTCATGCTGAAGGTTACCCATCTAAGTATTAACTGACATGGTGATAATTTTTGTATATCTCGTTTTTTCTATGGTGATAATTTTTGTATATCTCATTTTTTCCATGTGTTTCACTTTTCTTCTTTATAACTGCTATTCTAATAGAAAATCCTTCATAAAGGTTATTGCATTACATTCTTGATTAAATTATCTTTCTATTGATATATAATTTTATGGTACTACTAAAAAGAAAAGTGGTGTTATTAGCCATCAAACCTCAAATTACACTTTCCCTAAAAGGTTTCCACAATTTTGACCACTACTGTATCTATTTTCCACCATATTCAACCCTCTAGATAATAATATGATATCCCCTCTAATAAATCAAAGCCATTCTTTTCTTCAGCCTTACTCTGGCTTTGTTCCTTTGCCAACTAACCTTCCATGTCAGTGCCTTTGAATCATCAAATAGTTCTCCCTCTATTATTATATATATTATTTGGAATAAGAAAGACCATTTGGTTGAAGTTTTTTTGGAAGGACTAGCCCATTTGTATTCATTAAATTGCCTCCCTATTACTCCAATTTCCCACAATTGTCCTGATAAGTTTATCTTCCATTCCTCAAATTTCTTCTGATTTTTGTAAAACGTCTTTTCCATTTTCAGTGTTGTCACTCCCTTTTCTGATTTTTCCTGGGTCTGTTGGTCAATTGGGTCCTCTGTCCTAGTGTTTAGTTGTTCTACTTTTCCTATTATTTTCTGCATTGTTAGTTCTTTGGTTGTAGTCAAGTTCTGGATTTGTATATTTAAGCTGGCATCTTGTTCCTTTATGTTGCATCTTATTTTGTCACAAGCTGAAAGAATGGTTTCGTGCAGGGCTTTTTTTGTCATAGAGCGCCCAGAATGGAATCCCGGCACCTTTTTTGGATGGAACCTTGTAGGGTAGGCAAGGCGGGTTGTATAACATGTGTGAGTTCTGGCACCTTTTTTTTTTTTTTTTACAAAAAAAGCACTGGTTTCATGTATTGATTTCAACATGGAAAGGATTTTTTCCTGATCTTCATCCATATTCTCTTGGTAGTATGTTAAGTTGAAGACTTTAGAATCAAACATTAAAAATAGTTTTTTGTTTTTTAAAGCTGGTTATGGGACATCTATTTCACGTATTATAGGTGGTCTTTATAGTAGAAATTGTTTGTCAAGTAAGAGTTTATAGTCTAAGGTATTCCATCATCTCATATGCTTCTCATGTAAAGAAATAGGAAAGCAATTCCCCAAGTATAGCTCTGGAAGTCAGTAGCAGTTTACATTCATAGTTCAAACAGGCCAGACATGCCGCCCAGAAGTTCCTTCTTTGCAGCTGGATTTTTCACAGGTGGTAGCTGTCAAGGTCAAGGACATTTTTTTCTGGAGTCTGGGCTTCAAGCCAAGTCTCTTTTAGGCAATAACAAATTGTAATGCCATACTTCATCACAAGATGTCACCAACACCGTTTAAAGCTTTTTAAGTCCAAAATGTTTATGATAGTTTTTCAAGTCTTATTTCTTTTTTAGATAAAAACAAACGTCTCTAATAAGAAAAGGAACACTTTTAGTCCCCAAGTTTCAAAAGCATATACATCCAATTAGATTAAAATAGTTCTTTTTTTAAAAAAAAGTTTTATTTCTAGTTTTACATTTAAGTATTTAAAAAGCAACATGGTGGCTGGGTTAATCAATAATTCAATAACATACAAGTGTCTTTAGTACAAATCTCAAACTACCACATGAAATATTTCCTTTCTTTTCCCCTTAGTATTTACTGTCTCATGTTTAAGCTAATACAATTCTTATTATATCAATTAAGTAAAAATAACATTGTTACATTTATCAATAGTTTTTAGCTTATACATGTCCTAATTGCTTTAACATTCTATCTTTATAGACAATCAATATCCTGTAATTAGTTTTTCCCAATTTTTAGTTTCCCATCAATATTTAAATTTAACATTTAATATTTATAATTTCCAAGGTTTTAGGTAACCAAAGTTTTCTTTACCACAATTCATCACAAAATCTAATGTTCAAGATACATGTCCTATCTATTTGAATATATAATATTTCTCACCATCTTACATCATCTAATTGATAATACAGTACAACATTCTTATTTTCTACTAATTCCCAAATGTCCTAAATTTAATGACCAAAATTTCCCTTATTTCAACATCAAATACTTCCTCTCTTTTTCTCTTAATATCTACTATCTCATATTTAAACTAATACAGTTCTTATTTTATCAACGTAAATACATGTTTATTACATTTATCAAAAAAATTAGCTTATATATATCTTAATTACTTCTATTCACTCTTTATAGACAATCAATGTCCTATTTATTCATTTTCCCCAATTTCTAATTTCCCATCAATATTCAAATTTAACTTTTGATATTTATACTTCCAAGTTTTAAATGACCAATGTTTTCTTTATCTCAATTCATAACATAATCTAGTATTCAAAGTACACATCTTGTCTGTTTGAGTATATTCTATTTTAATTAATAACATAACATCCTCACTAATAAATCCAAACCCCAATTTTCTTCAGTCTTATTCTAGCTTGCTTTCTTTGCCAACTCGCCTTCCATGTCCGTGCTTTTAAATCATCAAATAGATCTCCCTCTGTTATTGTATATATTATTTGAAATAAAAGAGACC